AGAGAGAGATATATATATATATATATATATATATATATATAGAGGGAGAGTGAGAGAGAGAGAGAAAGAGAGAGAGAGGTTGAGATAGAGGGAGAGTGAGAGAGTAACGAGAGAAAAAGAGAGAGAGGAAATAAGGAAAAGAAGAGAAATGAAAAGAAAATAGGGAAAAATAATGAGGAGAGACAAATAAAAGTATAGGGGGTGGAAGCATGTATTTTCACATACTTCCGGGGTGAAATCATAAATACTAAAAGTAAGTTTAAAAGTTTTTAATTAATTAAGAAAAATTAAATTTAGTCACACTAATAAATCACAATTAACATAATTAAACATGTTTAATTCTTAAAAGCGTTACAGACTAATTCAAAATTTAAAAAGTAAATTGAGAGTTCTTAAAACTCAAGGCTAAACTGAGAACACTCAAAGTTCATGAGTGAAGATAATTGTTTTAAAAAAAAAAACCCATAAAAATTGCAATTCAAACTGTTGGAAAATGTAAAATTATGGATTAGTGTTTCATTGCATTATTATCTATATAAAAGGTAAATTTGTCAATTTAAATGTCAAAACTTACCGTTAACCTATAAAAGGTATGAATTTAAAATTTGAAAGTACAATTTTAAGAACACTTAAAATAAACTCAAAATATAGTGTATAAAACCGTAACTATTCTCAGTTTAAACTATACGATGTATAATATATATATATATATATTTTTTAATCCCTTGGTCAGGTACATATAAATTTTTGGTTGAATATGAAAGTGATGTATGCAAAAATTTCGTATCATGTTCAGACTAGAAAAAAACTCTAATATGTGAAATTCGTATATTTTTCTTAGTCGAGTTGTCATATTTTGACCCGTTGTCTACTCTAATATTGCCTTTTCAGTTCACATTTTTGTTCTTTAGCAGTGTTTGATATGGTCTTGGTGCTACGAGTTTCTCTCAGTTCTGATAGATTGATTTTTCAGTCAATGTAGAGGTTTAGCTAGAGCTATGTGTGTTCTGATGTCTGGTGTAATTTGATTGTCCAATTCTCAAACACGATATAACATCTATTTCTCTTTAGTGTTTTCTTTAAGTTTAAGCGTGGAACCTCCTTTGTTTATCAAGGTCGCACTTTTCCTATAATTTGAGGCCATATAGATCAATATTGGTATTTGTATTGTCTCTGATTTAAAATATATTTATTATTTTTTTTAAAATGAAGTAATTATATGAAATGATCATTTTTAAATCCCAAGTTTAAGATTTGTTTTGAATTCAATAATATTGTCAATTTGTCCGTTTTATAGTTATTCATATAATATAATTATGAACATATTCTTTTTTATATGCATGGTTATGAATTTACTGATTTTAAAGATAATTAGAAAAGATATAAATTTCATTACAGATTAGTTTACAGAATTATATGCAAATATCACGACTGATGAAAATTCTTTTGTTTCGTCACTGTAAAATGGACATATATGATACATGAAATTAGTTTGGTTGGAGGATTTAAACCATATGATTCGAATTATTTTTGATTTACGTGTATTTTTTATGAGAAAAAAATACTGTAACGAATTACGAATTATGATTCGAATCAAGAAACGAATCCCTCTACCAAACATCACAGGAACAAATTTGTAAGATTACTAACTGGACCCTTCGCCATGGACCAATTAGTCCAGCCCACCCAACATGAAAATTTAGGGCCCATGACCATCCCAAATCGTCGATCCAAGACGCGTTAAGGGTGAGCCTTAAGTAGTTCAGTTTCACAGCCACCCCCAAATCACGAGTCATCCCCAAAACGCAGACACTGTGTGAGCGAGGGATTGGAAAAGAGGAAAAAAAAATGCCGAAATTCGACCCATGGCCGGTGTTCTTCAAGCGGGAATGGAACAGGAACTGGCCTTTCCTCGTTGGCTTTGCCATCACCGGAACAATCATCACCAAGTTAACTCTTGGCCTCACTGGTAACTCTCTCTCTCTCTCTCTCTATATATATATGTGTGTGTGTATTTTTTTCTGGTAATCTCTTCCCAGTTCTGCCGTAATCTGTATCGCTTTCTTAATTGTTGAAATTCAAAAGCCATCCTGATTCTTGACACTTTTTTGCAACTGATAATCTGCAGAGGAAGATGCCAAGAATTCGCCTTTCGTCCAGCGACACAAGAGGTATTTCTCCAATTTTCAAAACCCTAGATTTTAAATTGCCAGTTTCTTTTTCTTTTTTTTAATGCTTAATATAATGTTGATGATGTTCAATCCAAAAATAGTTGTAACAGGCGCAATTTTTATCATCTTATTTGCATTAGGCACGCGTACAGAAATTTCTTATGCTTGAATTTCTTTTCCCGGCTTAATATTATGCTCGAAATTTGAGTTTCTTGGCATTCATGTTTGATTAAAACTGATTGAGACACTTGGTTTGCTTGAAAACTGCACAGCAACGAATTTCCCAGATTAGCTTTAACTTTAGCTGTATAATGTGTAATGGCTTGTTTGGTTCAACAACTCAAACTGCAGAGATTTAAACCTTTTTGATTAGAACTGTAGAATCTGAATTGTGGTGATTTTTTTATTTGAACCGGTGTTTGGATATGTAAATAAATTGTAATTTGAATCGGGAATAAAATCTGAATTGTGTTTGGATAAAAGGTTGAAAACTGTCATTAGAGTTTTGTAACAAATCTTATAAAACCATATTGTAAATGACATTAAAAAATATGCAATATGGGTGGGGATTTGTTCATTTCTTCATTATGAACACATTAAAAAAATCCATCTCATTCGGAATTAAAATGAAGAAGTTATGACATTTTTAAGATTGAAATTGAAGAGAGAAAAAGTAGAATATGGAATCGTTGAACTGTTGACAACAATTGTTAGAATTTAGAGGGGAGGTGAATTCTAAAAATCAAGGGTTTGAACCATTGTTAATGGTTTGTATTGTCCTTCAATTTTTCTTTCCCAAACACCAATTTGAATCCTGAACTAAAGTTTGAATCATAACTAACAGTTTGAGTTGTTGAAACAAACATGGCATAAGTTTCTAGCTCGGGAGATAATGAACTCTAGAATCACAAGGGAATCACTTTTGTGCCTAACTAGTCACTGGTACTACCGTTTTGAATATGTAACCGTCTTAATCACTTTACAATGCCTAAATATTGTTTTTATGCTATATAGCCTGACAGGGATAAGTTAATTTATTACTATTATTAGTAAAAAGTACGCTGATAAGAACCAGGAACTGGTCTATAGTTTAGTGATTAGTTTAGTGATTAGTTGCTGACGTGGATGGTCGAGGAATCTTGTTGAGGAAGCATTTCTGGTGATAACTGAATTTAGTTAGTTTGTTAGTAGAGGGGCCTATAAATAAGAGGAGGGCCTTGAGAGGTGAGGGAACTTTGGGATTGTATAGAATTGTGAGGAGAGACGGTGATTCTCTCGAAAAATCACTTATGTGTGTAATTCGTCCTTCATTAATCTAGAGGTTTCCGTCAAATTGGTATCAGAGCAGTTCCGTCTGGGAATGGTAGCTTCAAAAGTCGGAAAAATGGATGGAAGGGTGGAAGTTGTGGAGAAAGACGTCGGAGAACTCAAAGAAGTCGTTAGACAGCTTTCGGTGGACATGGGAGCTGTGAAGGAATACATGAAGGAGCTTACCGATTGGATGAGGTCAGGGAGCAAAGCGAATCCACCGGCAGAGCTGGCTGGGGCTTCTGTTGCAAACGACGTTGAAGGCGGTGGCGCGACGGCGGCAGCATTTCACCCCGGTTATGGTTCAGCACTGAGTGGCGGAGAATCAAGATTTCGCCGAATGGAGATCCCTCTTTTCAGCGGTGATGATCCGCTCGGCTGGTTGTTTCGGCTTGAGCGATATTTCCAGGTCCAAGGCGTCGAGGAGACAGAATGAGTGGCGGCGGCGGTTATTGGTCTCAAAGGGAAGGTGGTGAATTGGTTCTAGTGGTTGTAATCCAGATCTGGTCACATTTCATGGCTGAGATTCAGGGAGTCCGTGATACAGCGGTTCCGTTCTTTGCAAACTGGCAACCATTACGAAGCTTTGATTGCTCTGCGACAAGACTCATCGGTGGCTGAATTTCGTGAGAAATTCGAACTGCTCGCGTCCCCTTTGAGAGAAGCCGACGAGGAGTTTCTAATGGGAGCCTTCTCGAATGGTCTGGCCGAGGAAATCAAGGCAAAAGTCCGTATGGTGAAGCCTGCCTCTCTCGTCCAGCTGATGGATTTGGCCCAAAAAAATGAAGAAAAGAATTGGGCCCTTGAGCGGGCCCAGATGTTGAGGACTTCACGGGCTGGAACAAGTGGTGAAGGGGCTGGATTTTTCAGAACTCAACGCGTGGAGGAATTACAGGAAGTTGCTCCAGCTGGCTGGGTAGTGGCTCCAGCTGGAATCCACCGAAACTGGTGGAAAAAAATGAGGGATCCCCATAGTTGACACATACCAACTCTAGTCAATCGGGCGTGTCGGTCAACAAGAGCCAAGAAAATGGTTTTTCTCAGTCCATGAGGAAACAAGACAGCTTCAGGATGAAAATTTCTGACGCTGAATTACAGCAGTGCAGGGAGCGTGGATTATGCTTCCGGTGTGAGGAGAAATGGCGGTTCGGACATGTTTGCACAAAACCACAACTGCAGGTTCTCATTGCCGCGGTGGATGAAGAAGATGGGGATGGAGTTGAAGCTACAGTTGAGGAAGAACATGGCGATCAAGCGGCGGCGCCAGGAGCGGTCACGTGAACCTTGAGGACAAGGTTCTGTGAATGGGGGGTAATGATAAGAACCAGGAACTGGTCTATAGTTTAGTGATTATGTTAGACCTCCGGTGCGGAAGGTTTACGTTTGGAGGCCCAAGAGAGGACTTGAGAAGGGCCCAGGCCCAACTGAGATAGAACGGGGGAAGAGCGCACGGAGGGCCCATATGGGGAGGTGTGCGAAGTTGGTTAGAGTATCGGTGGATATATGGGGGAGCAGGGGGAGTATGGGGGAATCATCGATTTTGCTGCTTGGATTGACCACTGGGAGGTTAGGGATTCCTCGAAAATCCCTTCTATCTTTCTTTCCTGCATACTTGTAATTTTCTTCCATTTTCCATTAATCTCAGAGCTTACTGAAGCTCTTGATGTAATAGCAGTGTTGGTATTCAATAAAAACGGCCATTGTCTACTCTCAGCCCTGTTAATAGCTCAATTCCTTGCATTAGGAACTAGGATCCTAACAGATTAGTTTAGTGATTAGTTGCTGACGTGGATGGTCGAGGAATCTTGTTGAGGAAGCATTTCTGGTGATAACTGAATTTAGTTAGTTTGTTAGTAGAGGGGCCTATAAATAAGAGGAGGGCCTCGAGAGGTGAGGGAACTTTGGGATTGTATAGAATTGTGAGGAGAGACGGTGATTCTCTCGAAAAATCACCTGTGTGTGTAATTCGTCCTTCATTAATCTAGAGGTTTCCATCATACGCCCACTTTTTACTCTTCGGTAAATGGAAAGACAACTTTGGGTAGTACTTTTACCCAATTGGGTTGTTTAGCCTTTTTGTTTGTAAGCAATGCTGTGTAGCCCGATTGGGCTAAAAGTACCACTCAAGTGTTTATTTCTCATCGGTGTTTAGCTCCAACTGAACTAATATTATAAAAAGTAAGCCCACATTTTACTCTTGGGGAAATGGAAAGGCAATACTCGAGTAGCACTTTAGTCTCATTCGGTTTAGCATTTTTGTTTATTTAAATGATTTGGTGCTCAAAATTATCCGGGATGTTAGGAGATGATTTAGTATGCTGAGCTGCGTATGCTTTTCTCATGCGTTGGGTAACTGGGTTTCAAATTGCAAGAGTAGAGCCTGTGGTCAAATCATTTACAGGTGGGACTATTGTCTTCACTAATGAACTGCAAAATGAAGTTTTGGCTTCTTGTAAGATTTTGTGGCATTGATATGTTGCGGCAAATATGAATGTTTCTTGTTTTCTTTGGCTGTTTCCCCTCTATGATCTGATTCTGTTACAGTGGTCCTGTTTGTATTTCCTGGTATGCGAAAAACACGACCTACATTTGCCAATAGTATGTTGATTCATGTACAGATTTGAGTCTGGTGGTGACTTATGAGTTGTATCAACAACAATAACATATGTTTCCTTTTTGGTAGGTGATTTGCGAATGCTGGTATTGGTGTCATCCCTGCAAATTGGACATGGTGGAATTAGAGTTTTTATGGCTTATAATAACAGAAAGAGAGATTTTCTTGGAACTCTTTTGGTTTTCTTATGCTGTTGACTTGAGAGTTTTCATTAAGGAATAAATACTTTTGTTCATGTTTTATGTCATGCCATGCAGTTGATGGTCTTGTCAATAATAAATCAAAACCGAATTTTGAGGATGTCTTTATGCTCGTTTGTTTTTGCTTTACGGCTATTGAATCTAGTCCCTTTGTCTCTTTGCTAAAGATCAAAAGTCTGGTATATGTTCTCGGTTATCTGGAAATATTACATTCGTCCGATTGATAAGAGTATCAAAGCGGCTTGGCAGTCAAAACACAAGCACTAGGAAAATCATTGAGATGAAATCACCCAAGTATTGGCTCGTGTGAACCGTGATCGGATGGCACGTCTGAAGTGCTACTTTTAATTGAGTGTTATCTATTAAATATAATTCAGGATGTATATTTAACTTACCAAGAAGATGATTGACATCCACATCCCGTCCGTTTTGGCACCAATTACATGTACTATCTGAAGGAAGGCATAGTTTTGATTGTAAAAATATAAAAAATGCAATTTCAATCAGCTTGGAAGTAGGTCTATTAGATGTGATATTCCTGGAAGCAAGACTCAGGAAAAAAAAAAAAAATTACGGGAAGCAGAATTATCAATTATGAAGCAGCTGCATTTTTGACATCAAATGCATTAAATCGTTAAGCACTTACTTTCTTTTACATGTTTTCCTTATGGCTGACTCAAAATCTATAACTGTATGGGTTATGCCCTGCTTAAACAATGAGCAAACTGATATAAGATCTAAGCTTTAAGCCTCTTAAGAGGTCCTTCAAAGACCTTTTAAATGCTGTTTCCCATGAGGAGCTTGCCCCGAGTAACGCAACTCATTTTTGAGATGTAAGACGATAACATTTAGAAGCATCGGACGTTCAACAAAAAATTATATGGTTCAGAAATTTGAGAAAGGAATTATGAGATGAGGCTAAAAAAAATGTTGATTTGTTATTTAAGGTAACAAAACTGGTTTTGTAACAAGCAGCATACAACATAAGCATCGACTCGACATGAGAACAAGGCCTTCAATAACTAAATACCAATGGCGACCGCCAGATTGTAGAGTATCACAGTATCCATGTGCCACTCGTGACAAAAACAGAAAAGAAAGAAGAAGCTGAAATTATGAATGAAATGTGTGAGACACAAGTCACCACCATTTATTTCCTAGAAAGGGCACAATTGAAATGAAAACTTGGCAACATGAAAACATAGTAAGACGTGCATATTTTGGACACAGAGAGCACTCCAATTGCTACGTTGAATGGAAAATTCCATGAACGAGAGCTTTATCCATGCTCATATATATATGTTTGCAGCTATGGACATTCATTTCTTCTTGGGCACTCCAAGCCTTAGTCGGAAATCCTCCTCCATGAGGGGAAGGCCTTCCCGTAACTTGATTTTGGGCTCCCATCCCAGCAATTCTTTTGCTTTTGTAATGTCGGGTTTCCTCTGCCGCGGATCGTCCGGAGTGTTCTCCACAGTCTTTATCTCCACGTTGGGATTGATCAGCTGTCAATGTAAATTGTTGGGCAACCGATATAAACCCCTTTCAAGAATTCTTAAATCGGCCTGGCTTTATGTCTGTAGTACTTGAAGAACTAACATAGCGAAGAGAAACTCACCTCCTTCACAGTCTCCGCAAGTTCAAGCATTGTGAATTCACCTGAGTAAGTGAAAGAAATAGACTAAATTAATGTTAAACAAATAACTAGGAGGTTGTGACTTAAGTCTTGCTGAATATGTATCCCCATTGAAGTTAAGTGAGATTAACCTGGGTTTCCAATGTTGATGGGCCCGGTGTGCTCTCCTTCCATAAGGCGAATTAGGCCATCAACCTAAAACATTTTAAATAATAATTAGTCTTTGATAATCAGGTACCTAGCAGTACATGCCATGAAATTGGGGGAAAAAGAGTTTCACATACCATGTCAGAGACATAACAGAAACTGCGAGTTTGAGTTCCAGGAAGTTGGACTGTCAAAGGTTCATCACTGCATTGTTCAAAACAGTGTGTCAGAGTCTCAAAAAGCAGCCAGAGTATCAACCGAGGAGCGAGAGATTTTAGCTAGTTATAAGATAGCAATTTAACAATTGAGAGTTATCAACCTTATCAGATGCATCACGCATGCACATTAAAAACATTTTTTTTTTGGCTTTTATAAGGTTTCCATGTAATGAAACTAGTTAATGCTACGATATAAAATGATATTGCACATATCATAGAAAGGTTCTTCCATCAATACTCTGGTAAAAGTAATATCATGGTCTTTATCTTTGAAACACAAGGCAAGCAACAAGATTACCTCTGGAACTAAAGCCATAAAACCAAACTAGTAACTCACCGGAGTGCTTGCGCTATGAAATTGCTGACTACACGGCCATCATCAATATTCATCCGTGGTCCATATGTGTTGAAGATTCTGGCAATCCGAATTTCTTTTCAAAGAGAAGAAAGTTAGTAAAATATGTCAAAAAATCAGTACAATGGAGATGCAATACTTTCATTGGAAAATTAAAAGAGAAAGCCAATGAATAGTTAATAAAGACAATTACCTATTCCATGCTGCCTATGATAGTCAAACATTAAGGTCTCAGCCACACGCTTCCCCTCGTCATAGCAGCTTCTGACTCCTAAAGTTTTAAGAGCGTAAAAGGTAATGAGAACTTTTTCATGAACTTAAAAATAGACCCTTAAGACACAATAGCTGTTTTCTTGCATTCACGGCAGTCTGTTAAGACAACTAAGCCAAGTTATGCTATGAGAGCAAGGCTCACATGTCAGGGTCGTGATGCCAGAGTACGGAAAAACGACCTCCAAAATACTATCACGAGATGTTAGTTAAATGCAGATGCCAATTAAGCAGTTTTCATAGATTATGATGAAGGTATAAAGGATTTCAAACATTATTCCTCTCTTTTCAGTTGTTAAACTTAAAAGGAATTCATAATCTTTATACCATGATGAATTTAGGTAAACCATAACACGGCAGAACGGATGACACTTACCAATTGGGTTAACATTACCCCAGTAGGTTTCAGGTTGGGGATGCACAAGAGGATCACCATATACCTCTGAAGTTGATGTAAGCAAAATCCTGCTCAGCAACATCTTATTTGAATGAAATGTTCATGTAGCACAAATGAATAGATGGATGTAAAATCAAGTTGCCTCACCTTGCTCCAACTCGCTTAGCAAGTCCAAGCATATTCAGTGTGCCAATCACGTTTGTCTTTATTGTCTGTTCAAATGTTATAAATTATCATGTTAGCTTGCATCTTACGGTGCATCTTTAGGTGGTCTGGAAGATGGCATGTTTCTTGTACCACGTATGTTTATGTGCATCATAGTATTAACATAATGATCTTTCATTAAAGACCCAGGTCAACACAGTCAATGCTTGTAGACTCTCTGTTGTCCAATGTCCGTATGCGGATGAAAGTTGTCAAGTTTTAATGTATTGCCAGTTGCAGCCTTTTTTTACGGGACTTCAAATTTCAAACATATAACCCACTCAAGTATTCTATAATTTAGAAATGGAAGCTTTTCACAAGAGATAAGATGCAAAGTTTAAAACGCTGCAACTGCAGATATTACACAGCAAATTACAATTAACTCAATCTGCCAATACATAGAAAAAAAGAAGACATTTTAAAATTTTGATACGCGATTATGTTTGATCTTGGATGAGATATGTAATGGGAAGTATTGACTAAAACAATGATGCTTAATTTACTTAAAAGAATACTTTAAAAGTGATGAGTTAGGTGTATGTGGAAGCATGGACTATATACACCAATATGTGATATTTAGCTTTAAAGATGTGCGCACCTTTACAGGATTATATTTATAGAAAATTGGCGAAGCTGGGCAAGCAAGATGGTAAATCTGATCAACCTCGACCAACAATGTTTCAGTAACATCTGTATAGAAAAATGAAAATGATATCAACTCATCACCATGAACTAGTTAAGGATAATAGACAAAATCTGTGGTGGTCCATCGTAATAATCAATATAGCAGCAGAGCAAACAAGAACTGCAATTAAAAAAAAAAAAAAAAAAAAATGGAAGTCGGATTTTTCAAGAATGCAGAATCGATATAGCAGCAGAGCAAACAAGAACTGCAATTATATATAAAAAAAAAATGGAAGTCGGATTTTTCAAGAATGCAGACTGAAAGGGAAAAAAAATAGGAAACATAAACGATAGTTGGCATCAGCATACCATTATTAAGAGAAGCTTTTCACCGATATAAATGACCTTTTTATTTTATTTTACAATTTAACAAGTTCAAAGGGAAAGCCTAACAAAATCAACTCATAGCACCATATTAGCTCATCAATTAAAGATGAGTTTAGAAAATTCACATGGAGTACAGAAACCATGAACAACTGGATTTGTTTTAAAATCCACTGCATTTTGTTTGCCAGATGACGAGACTATTCGATATCGGAGCTTTTTCATACAACATCTTCAAACTAAGACGTGTAGCAACGAAAGATACAAAAGTAATACCATGACGAATAAGCTCAAATCTGGGATGGCCAATCCATTTCCTAAGATTGTCCTTTGAACCGGTGAAGAAGTTGTCAACAACGATTACCTGAGTAGAAAGTACTACAATCAGTATGACATTAGATCATCTTATTCTTAATTTAAACTCACTCATTGCATACCGTCCCATTTATTGTCGCACATAAAGCATCATATTTAGATTGGATCTACTAATTATTCATCAACAATGAACTAAGCCTGCCAAAAGATGAAGACGCTCACCTCATTCTTTTCGTTTTCCATCAATCTGTCCACAAGGTGAGAGCCAATGAAGCCAGCTCCTCCAGTAACCAAAATTCTCATATTGGACTGCCATTAACATCTCAATCAACTAAAGATGCAAGTAATAAATAAATAATGATATAAATTCAAGTTTTAACATCTAATGGCATAAAAAAAAGGCTTCACCAAAATTCAAGCGCAAAGCACATACAAGAGCATGTAACAAAGACATAATAGCTGAAGCATAAAAGATCTTGTATAATCCAGAAAACCACTCATGGTCTTACAGATCTAGCAAATTATACTAGCTAAGAAAAAAATGAGCACTGTTAACTTGTTGATTGTCGTACTTTGGGAGATGCGTCATGCCTAAAACACAACTATAACAAAGATGCATGAACTCCTTCCCCTAAAACAGATCTTTTTTATACACAAATCCATTGAAAACAATCAACCAAGTATCTATACTACCCTTTTTTTTGTTAGCAGAGAGTAGAGACAGCTCTGATCTGATGATCCAACTATGCAAATGAAAATGGTATAGCGGGCTGATAATAGTACAAAGAAAACTGGATAACCCAGAAACAAGATTGGATTTAAAATGAACACGTGTAACATTACCCAGCAAATATATATAAAATAAATAAATTTTCTAGCAATAAATGCCTACAAAGAGAGGCAACTACCAAGACCAAGAGAAATTCATATCACGATCACGATGCAAATCTTTAAATTTGAACAGAACACAAATGTAATAAGACGTAAAATATAGTGTAATTACAATATAATATGTATATATATATATATATATATATATAATCTAGAAGAAAAAAGAAGAACAAATAGTCAAATAACCAAAGTCAGACCTTGAAAAACTTGGAATTACGCAAAGGAGAAGGCTGTGGAGGTGGCTTTGGTGTGGTCTGGTGACTTCCGTTGGATGAATTGTTTGCCATTTTGCCGAGATCCGCTCTTTTACCGTCAAACCTATTCAGAAAATTCCCAAAAGAAAAAAAAATTGAATAATTAATTACACGCCTAAATATTGAATTTTAAGGTCCATTTGATTTCTATGTTTCTAAAGTACAGAACAAAGTTTTCTTACAACAATCAATGCGGAACCGAAAACTAGCCTCGGAAGAAAAGCACACAAAAAAAAGTAAAAACCCTAATTGGCATTTGGATCCACAATGATCCGTTATCAGAAACTCGTATTTATAGTCCCGAAAAAATTGCAAACACCGAAATTTGTTACACCAAACGATGAAATTTAGACCAGAAGTACGATTATAATTTGATTAAATTAAAACAAATAAAAGCCTTCAAATTCAAGGAAAGTTCAGGCCATCATGATAGCTCCTAGGTAACAATGATTAAAACAGGAGCCACACCAACTATTAAAACCAAACGAAATTAAAAAGAAAAGGAAAAAAAAAAAACGGGGAATTAAGACTTTCAGCAGCATTTTTTTTTTTTTTTTTTTTTACCTCACAATGATTTAAGAATTTTGGGTGTTGATAAGGGTTTTTGGTTTAAATACTTTTGGGTTTTGCCGATTTGGAAGATGGGATTAAGTTGATGAAGATTAAAAGATGAGATTAGGGAGAGATAATTACGGATATTAAGCAATAATCTTGTTTTAAGATGTGCGGACGTATCTACTGCTGGGTGGGGACTAGGGAGAACCTTCTTGGCTTGCTTTATAAGACAGAATAAGATGCTTCATTACTTTATTCCTGCGTCCAGGAATAAGATGCAGGTGCTCCTCGGTCATTTTTGTCTTCATACGCTTACGTATCTAGCTGTGCCACGTCTCTTAGCAGATTGTCTACAAATGGCATAACTAAAAGGGGTGTATCTGACCGTTCGATCATTTATGGATTAGGCTTGTTTTTAGAGTGTAGGTGCAATGGACGGCGAGGATAAGAGGCGTTGTCTTCTCCAACTCGGCCGTAATTTGAGGTGACCCGTCATCGACATAGACATATTTTAATTCTGCTTGTTGAAAGTAAAGTCAAATTTTGTGTTCTTTTATATGAATTGTTCGTTTTGTTAAAATCTTGTGAACTTGATTATTTAGGTCTCGTTTATTTCACCGATTTAAGTTTAAAATTTAAATTTTATGACAGTAAAAACAGTCACATTTAATTTTTTTATTACAGTAAAAAGATCTCACATAAAGTCACAGCTCAATTTGAATTAAAAACTCGAATCAGCGAACTAAACGTGCTCTTAGGCCTCGTTCAGTTCCCGGATTCGAGTTTTTAATTCGAGATGATATATGATTTTATGTAAGAGCTTTTCACTGTAGCAGAAAAAGTTAAATGTGACTTTTTATAAGAGCTTTTAACTGTAGCAAAACTAAAATTGAAAATTCAAATTGGTAAAATGAACGTTGTCTTTTTTCAAGACCCGCTCGTTTGGTGAATTCGAGTTGATAATTTCAATTGAAAAGTGAATATATGAGAGATAAAATATTGTAGTAAAAAAAGTTGAATTTAAAGTTTTGTAAAAAAAAAAAAAATTATTATAGTAAAAGGTTTGAGTTATGATTTAAATTGTGAAATAAACCAGAGCTTAGATGGCTATGATTATAAATCATTCAAAATATTATTGTTGATAGATGTTTTTATAGACCCAAATTAGGTCTGAAGAACTCTCATAAACCCTAATTTGGTGGACTGTTAATAATTAAATTCACGTGTTCATCTTTTTGTTATACAAAAAGATTATAATTTCCCTTGAAGTGATTCAAGGATGGATAGATGATGAGAACCCAATAACCTTTCTTCTTACTTTTGGCAACCCAAAATCCTAAAGCCTAAGTTTTAGAGCTTTCCCATTAGTTAGAGGACAAAATTCTCGTGTTTCAAAGAACATGAATCAAGTAATTTGTCACTGGTAGTCTCTTACACTTGGCTTTGAAGCCAAGTTATATTTGCCATAAATAGACCAACAACATTAGTAAGACAAACTTAAAACTAATATAACCTTTAGAGATGGTAAATAGGAAACACTTGGCTTGGTTAAACACTTTACAGTGTCTTTTAAACCTTAGAAATACCTTGAATCTGATAGAATTAAGTTATATTGTCTACATTTCATACTACTGGGTTTCTTATACTCCACACACAAAAAATAGCAAGAACTCAAAGCTATAAATGGAATAAAGCGTAGAGGTTGTTCTCTAAGTGTCTGATGGAATAAAGTGTTAGGTATGTTTTTGTCACTGGTGTCACAGAGAGTGTTATAACACTTTTCTATAACACTATTTTTAACAGTAAATCTGAAATTAAACCAGTAAAGCAGCAATACAGGAAAATAATGCACAAACGTAAAGGACACCAAAAAAATGATATCACAGTTCGGTGCGCACACCTACTCTGCGAGGCCACACCCAGACAGTGATCAATCCATTAAGTTCAAAAGATTACAAAGGACCGAACGGTTTTACACACTCAACGACTCTCTCCTTGACGATGTTGCCATTGCCTAGAATCTCCTTAGAAAGCTTGATCAGCGAGCACCACTCGATTTGACGGTTTCCTCCCGAAACCAAAGAAATCTTCTCCCGAAGAACCAATTCAAAAGTGTTCTCACAATCCGTCGCAACATACCAAACGACTCTTAACATTACAATCTCATACTCACATGAACACACGCAGCCTTTTCATTTTCAGCACTCTTTTTTACACATAATACATTCAGCCCAATACAATAAAAAATTCACACCATTGCTGCCGTTCAATATCTAATACAAAAAAAACCCTCGAGCATAAAGAATTCCCAGCCATTAATTCCTAAAGTCCACTCTTCAATCTCAGCAATCAACTCCTCTGATTTTCAGCCCTTAAACCAGACAACCAGACTTTCCTTAAAAGGCTCACCTATTTGTTGTGCTAGCCAAGCTCCCAGCCAAATTGCAACCAATTTGCCAAATATAGTTTTCAACCAATTTACTAAAAATAAGCCAATACAAAAATGCACTAACAATCTCTCCCTTTGGCTATTTTTGGCAAAACTAACAAAAAAAACTTATTACAAGATAAAAGATAAAAAAAATTAAGAGTTTTCCCCCTTTTTGACAAAAGACAGCCAAAGTTAAAAAATAATACTAATAGAAAAACCTTTTAGAAGCTGTTGCTCCCCTTGAGTCCTCTACGAGTCTTACTTCTCCTGAATGTAACACTTTTTGTGACAGAGAATACATTCAGCCCAATACAATAAAAAATTCACACCATTGCTGCCGTTCAATATCTAATACAAACAAAAAAAACCTCCAGCCTAAAGAATTTCCAGCCATTAATTCCCAAAGTCCACTCTTCAATCTCAGCAATCAACTCCTCTGATTTTCAGCCCTTAAACCAGACAACCAGACTTTCTTTAAAAGGCTCACCTATTTGCTGTGCCAGCTAAGCTTCCAGCCAAATTGCAACTAATTTGCCAAATATAGTTTTCAACCAATTTGCCAAAAATAAACCAATACAAAAATGAACTAACATAAAGCATTCAAAGTGTGTGATGATAATAGAAATCAAAAGACTAATTATGTACCTATAAATAAAGCCCTTTTCTCTACAACAAACACGATATTGAATGAGTACATAAGAGCATAGCTCGAATTTTAACCTTAAAAACTAATTTTCTTAAAGCTCCTTAAGATCAGATCCTGAGATCATAAACCACTAAAATGTTCATCATATTGATCACCATTGATCACCATTCAACCTTCAATCACTTTCCAAAAACACTTAAAATCATCTCCTGACCTTAGTTCATCTTGAGCAAAGTTCCTGAGTTATTTCTAGTGATATATCCAAGCTATTCTAGAGTCTGCATCTCTCCCCTAACCCTTAAGAATAACAAGCTTCGCATCGTCTATTTATTCTTTCCAATGTACCTAAATATTTACGTTTTGCATTGTTCTCTTGGTTTTGCAGCATCACTGTGGTTGTTTGGCAAAGAAGTGGGGCTCTAGAAACCGTTATTTTTCTGTCCCCTTTGGATTTAATCAACCTCACCCTTATTGGAAGTCATGTTGAGTCGACTCCACAAACTTAGCAAATTAGCCCCCCCTTCCCTAAATAATGTTTCTCCAATGAATCAACGACTACCACGTTCTCTATTCTGCCATGCCATATCTGTTGAATCTATCAAGCTCCAATACTTTTAAAAATAGATAATTTGATAAATAAATAAAAAAGTCATGCGAGAATGGTTAATGTGTTCAATCTTTAATTACAATTTCTTGAAGTTATTTTATTGTGAAATTGAGGTAAATTACTAAGGTGTCATTTGATTCATAAATTTAAACATAAATTTATAATTTTTATAAGAGAAAATACTACTGTATAAAAGTTTGAATTATGGTTGAAATTTTTTAGACAAACAACAACTAAGATAGACTTTAGATAAAAAAAGAAGCTCATTTAGACAAAAAAAAAAAAAAAAAGAGAATGAAAAATATGACAAGTTATGACATTAGTCCGGACAAAACTTGGACGAGCACTACTTGGCATTATCTGAAGATCACGATCTACCATCTCATTTGGTTTGTAGGCTTAAATTAGTGTGTTTTAAACCTTTTCAGTTTAAAGCATGTGGTTGAAAAGTGTTTAAATGTATAAACGTTGAAAACATAAGGGTGGGTTGAATTTAGAAAATCTATTTTATATTAATAAATATATATATTGTGGAAATTCTTGTCATCACGTGACTGTATTTAGTGGTGAGAAATCCACGTTGTGGTCGTGGAGACCTGGGAGCGGCCACAGGTTTTTTTTTTTTTTTTTTTTTTTTTTTTTTTTTTCATGTTTCTACCATATGTCCAGTCTTTCTTTTTTTTTTTTTTTTCCCCGGCCCGTATTATAAGCGCATTAGCATTATCGAAAATAGTAAAAAATAGACTAATATAAAAAGTTTAAGAAAGTATTTAGGTTAATTTTTAGTTATAGAAATTAATAGGTTATAATTTATTAAGTTATGGTTCATAATCAGATAAGTTATGGACAAACTTGTCAAGTTATGGTTCATAGTCAGATAAGTAATGGACAAAAACCGTGAATAACTTATCAAGTTATGGTTCATAACCAGACAAGTTATGGATGAAAACAGTAATTTAGCCTATTTATTAATTTATGTAAACTATTTACCTATTAATTTTAATTCATCTCAAGTCTTGACCTATTTTATTCTTTATTATTGAACGTGTAGGCCCATTTTTATTCTCTACACGTAAAACCCATTATTCCTGTTAACAAAGGAGCACAATTGACATCCCTGTTTTTTTTTTTTTTTTTTTTTTTTTTTTTTTTTTTTCTGTAAAAATTAATCTTCATTTTTTTTTTTTTTTTTTTCCTGAAAAACTGACATCTACATTTGTTATGCATCCTTAAATCCCTTTATCGTGATTTTTGATATCACCATTTTTTTGTTGTTGATAAATTCATAGAACATACAAAATCTAAAAGATAATCATTTAAAGGACATCTTCAATGAACTCTCAAAATTTTAGCTAAATTTTAATTAAAATAGTTAGAAAGTTATTTTAGCTAATAATTTTTAGGTGAGACACTCTAATCATACTCTCTATAGCTTAATATAAATTTTTTTTAATATTTATTGAAGTTAAAATATAAATAATTTTATTGATTTTTTTTAAAAAGTAATTGTTATTATTTGAAAGAATAAAATACTTACCTTTTTTTGCTAGCTAAATATAGTGTGAAATGCATTCTTTATAATAGAAAACCATTTGGCTGGTCAGAGCAGAGAAAAGTAAAAAAAAAAAAAAAAAAAAAAAAAAAAAAAAAAAAAAAGTTAAATTATAAACTATTTTGGTTAAAAACATAAAATAGATAGCATTTGAAATGCATTCTTTATAATAAAAAACCATTTGGTTAATGGTCAGAACGGAGGAAAAAAAAAAGTTAAATTATAAATTATTTTAGTTAAAAATATAAAATAAGAAAAAAAGGAAAGAAAACCTCAGTGCACAATAATTTATTCCTATACAAACACCCCGTGAATTACTCTCAATAACTTACACCCCATTTGACAAATTTCGTAGAAGAAAAGTAACGTTAACCATGAAGGCCCAATATCCTGCTAGGCATCACTGAGCTTGAAGGTAATAACTAATAAGCTATTTCATAGCAAATATGGTAAAAGGTTATTCACATATATAATATAGTATTGATCACACAAAAAGGCCAAAAAGTTGTGTATGGGCATGGGTATATTAGTGTATCACTTTTGCTTATTATATATAATATTTATTTCTTCAAACCATGCATTCATACACGAGATTTCATACAAATTAACACGGCTCGAGGGATTCTCCCGCTGAACAAGTTCCTAGATTGCAAATTCACGCTTCTTTCAGTGAATTTAAATTTTTAATTTGAGTTAAGATGTGATATTTTTTAAGAGTTTTTAACTTTAACAAAAAAGTTAAATATGACATTTTTAAGTGCTTTTAATTGTAGAAACTTAAAATTAAAAACTCGAAGTAGTGAAATGAACGAGGCCTCAATCTCTCACGTCTCACGTCTCACGTTTCACGTACGTGCATGGTATTTGAGGGTAAAATCGTAATTGAATTTTTGGCGATTTGCACTTATACCCCTTAAACTTTGAAGTCCTCACTTGGCTGCCTGAACTTTGGAGTCGTCCACATTTTGTTCCCTAAATTTTTTTATAGCTCCTACTACCTCAAACTTTGAATCTTTCTCACTTTACTTCGTCTACTTGACTAAGATTGGTACCCGCTCACTTGCATCCATAGTAATCCGATTACTCAATATGGTTTTTTCTTTTCTTTGATTTTCTAGACACAGTTTGATGTCCTTTTTATCATTTTTGTTTTCTATTTGAATTATTTTCATTGATTTGATTCGTAGTAAGCCATAACAGTACCTGAATTTTACGAAAATGTCGATATTGATAAAAGTTAACCTAAAATATACAAATTCATCCTAAAACACTTTATCGATTTTTTGCTAATATCTCCAAAAAATTTCGCAAAATATTTTGTCATTTAATACCACACTTTTTAAAATGAGAGAAGTTCAAAGTTTGAAATAGTATGGAGGGAACAATGAAAAAGTTCAGGGCCCAAAGTGGAGGCGACTTCAAAATTTAGGGAGCCACTCCAAAGTTCAAGGGGCGAAGTGGGGAGGACTCTAAAGTTCAAGGGACAAAGTGGGGGTGGCACCAACGTTTATGGAGTATAGGTGCAAATCACCAAAAATTTAATTATGATTTTACCCTCAAATACTATGTACGTGAGACGTTTTCCGTCTCTTTTAAACAGAAATTGGGATGAAATGAGCAAAGTGGAAGTTCATGAAAGTTTAGGATAGTAAAATGGAGATTTTTAAAATTTAGGTGACAAAGTGGAGGTGACCCAAAATCCAGGAGGTATAGGTGATAATATATATATATATATATATATAAAATAAAACACACAGAAGTGGAATTCATAAAATCTGGAAACAAATCGACTACGGCAACCTAAGTGGTGAAACGATGGCCTATAGCTGAACCCCGCCTTGTCCTTCGTGAAAAGATTATTTCTTCAAGAAAAAAAAAAAAAGAAAAAAGAGCACATCTGTGGACAAGAATTCATTTTCAACATATCACATCCCATAGGCTACTCCCACTAAATGATAGCCCATTAACAATTTACTGATCAAATTATGTCTTCAAATACAAATACTCTTAAAATTTTTATAGAAGCAAAGTAACGTTAAGGATGAAGGCCTAATATCCTGGCAGGTATCCTTGGCTTCAAGGTAATAAGCTTTTTATTTTTTTTATTTTTTTATTTTTTTTGAAGAAATAGGTAATAGCTATTTTATAGCATATATGATAACGGGTATTCATATTAATATATAGAATAACAATTAATATTAACGTGTCACTTTTGCTAATTATAATTTATTTCTTCAAAGCATGTATCATACACGAGATTTCATACAAATTAACACGGCTTGAGGGATTCTCCCGCTGAACAAGTTCCTTGATTGCATCCTCAATCTCTCTCGTCTCTCTCATGAACCCACTCATGCAGAACCCTAGAGCACTCAAACATAAAACCATTTGTCTCTTCAACTCCCGATCATCATCAATCTTTTCAACGACTTCTCTCGAATGATGGACATAAGAACCGACAACCTTGTCAATCTCATCTTCATCCAATGACAACTTCCCTGACTTCCCCAGCTCGATGTCGTACGATGTCTTGCTCTTCTCAAGCTCCTTCTCGAGAAGTGCCAACGACTTTATTCGACTAACCTCCTCAGCATATTTTAAGGAAGAACCAACAAGTTCTTTGAAAAGCTCGAGATCACCGTCCAATGATGTGATTATACTTTCCTGATTAATCAGTATTCTTCCTCGCTGATCAAGAAATCCCATAGCACGAGAGCAGAAATCAAGGAGATCGACCATTTTGGACAAGGATTCCAATATCTTCCCATAACAATCACTAGGAAAAGGCATGAACCAGAAGTTTGGTTCTAGCTCAGCTTCTCCAACGAATTTCCCTAGCTCGTTAACGCACATGTTGAGCTTCTTTCTGTTAGCGTCCAAGTTGGAGAGTTTGGCGTTTGACTGAAAAGTCAACGAGTTGACGCACTCTTGCAAAGTCTGGATGCTTCTAGAGAGGTGAATCTTCGAGAGAGCGGAAGCTCTCGTGGGTTGGAAAAGGAGGTCCACGATTATCGAGCAAGACAGTCCGATGAAGGTCTCGGCGATTCTGGCTATGGCGAATTTGCTTGGTGGGCCGAAACCCTTTCGGCCCAATACCAGTATGGCCCCAATGACGGCGGAGATAGAACCGGCCTGGCTGTACATCTTGCTGCGCTGGAGAAAGCTTGTGAAGACGAACCAAGGGACGAGAGAGAAGAGTCTTGTGGGCAAGGACTTCTCGAAGAGGAACCAGCCCAGTACGCCGTACACGGTTCCCAAGACGGTGCCTTGGGCCTTAAGGTTGGCCACTCTGAAAGTGGCTTCTCTCCCTGCCGACAGGCTTATGGCCACTGGGAGTCCGGCCCAGTAACCATCTGGTTTGCTGTAGGTCAACCCAAAGAACACCGCCAGGCCTAATGAAAGACTGCTTTTGAATGCGTACATAAGCCTTTGATTGTTCGCCAATTTTAGGGTGGGAATGACACTAGTCCATATTGTCTTATCAAACGCACTGTCGTTTTGCTCTTGATCTTGATCAGTTGTACTTTTGGTTGGTGGTACAATTGGTGTTTTTGTGGGAAGGACTAGGTTCACGCAGAAAAGGAAGAAGAATGAGGGCAAGTTCTTGTGGGTTTGTGGCATATTATCTTGAAGGGTATGGAGAAAAGCTGTTTGTTGATCTAGTTCGGTTGATTCAGGAACCGTACTAATTGATGAATCGTTTTGTATGCCTGTGACAAGGTTGATCGTGTTGTTATTCTCCACCGTGATTTGGAGACCATCTTTGAGCTGATCTCCATTAAGGGTACTGAATGTGACAGGAAATGAACGTGTATTCGTCAAAGCCATCTCTAACCCTCTTAAAGGCACTTCCAATTCTTGCATTCTGTCTCCTGGGTTAGTGCAGTACCGGGGTTTTAAGCATTTCAATGGAGGCCTCTCCCACAACATGCTTTCCTGTAAACATTATTAATTATAGAAAAAAAAGCCTTTGATTAGTGTATACATATATATATATATATATATATATGACAATTAATATTCATACATATTCGAATTTTTGGTATTATATATACGTCGGGTATTATTTGTTCTTTGATGTTTGAAATGTTAAAAATGATGTTCTAATTAATACGTCAATGGATTTTTTTTTTTCTCTCTTACTTGGAAGCGTTTGACAGTTTGAAGAAGTTTGGTTCCCGTGGCAGCCATGGCTTTTGCTTGAGATATTGATTCAAGAGCGGAATTTTTGTCCCCTGCAGTAAAGGCCTTGACGAAGTGCTTTAGTCTCTCTGAAGCATTCTCAGCGAATAGGTGGGAGTTGTCTTTCACCTGTAGAAAAAGACAATAGCATTAGAGTAATGTGAACAAAAATAAGCACGTGATGGACGTTATATATCTTTAAGAGAACGGAAGTGAAGATGATGTCAATATCTAAGTTTTCCGTACACCACTAGCTATGCTATATATTTCAAATACATACATAGACACTATATAGTCACTCATGATCAATATGCGTATTGAAATATTGGTGGTTAGTGAGTATGGACTAGACAATCACTTTGCTCGAATAGGCTTCCAGATAGTGATGCAATCTTTTTCCCTCATATATGGCGAAGCTGTTGGTCAAAATGCATGCATGATATTTGGTAGGCACAAAAATGGAAGGCGAAAAAAATGATAGCCACACACACATATGTATATATATATATATATTTTTTTTTTTTTTTTTCTCTCCACTAGTTATTACAACAGTTTCGGTAAATCTAGCTCCGTATATAATATAAATATTTTTAAGGAAAATTCATTTGTTATAAAAGAGATGATTACTTTTTTTTTTTTTTTGAAATCAAAAGAGCTGATTACTACTGTAGCACTTCTTTCGTTAAAAGAGCTTATTTTGATTTAATTAAGCTCATATATTTTCTTCTTTTTGTTGCACATGAAGACATGTAAATTGAAAATTTTAATTTATTAGTGGTACATTACATACAAGCCAAAGTCATTTACGTATATATGATCTAGCTAATTCAGCAAGAGTTATTTATTTACATGTAATGTTTGAATATTTTAAAAAGTAGAGTGACAATATATTCTCGATCTTTTTGCAAAGTGCGACAAATAGTTAGGTGGCAGAAAATGGCTTTTGTACGACGTGGAACAATAAATTAGCCACACATGCCAAGTAAGTTAATAAGATTATCCTCTATATATGTTCGCATTGTTACACAAACCAACAACATGCATTAATGCCCCTTGAATCCCGTCACGTTCCATCTTTCTCTAAAACCTTTTAAATTAAATTAGTGATCAGGGCCTTGCTGCCTGTCTCACGATGTTATAGGCAGATTATATATAGTATCCATCTTTTGGCAGCACTGTTACGTGGTAAACTGTTCGTGCATAAAGTTTGCCAGGTTCAGGGGTTCAGGATGTGTATAATGCATATGTACTTATATATATATATTTACAAATATATAATAATGTAGATATATGTTTGTTGTTTAGATAATTAATATACCTCTTTACAAGCCAGACGTGGGAATGGTAGCAACAAAGCCAAAACGCAGGCCAAGACCCCAACGCCCGTGCTGGCAGCCACGCGTAGGGTGTGCATGACGGCCTCAGTCTTGTCTCCATTAATGAAACCTATAACATACACAATCACAATCTGTCCAAGAGCTACGCGCTTGGAGACCAAGTGTGTGGACTCCGGCAGCGCCACTACAAAGGCGCCGAGAGCCACCGCCAGGGAGGTGACGCTCCTCGTTAGCCGCGACGGGTCGATCAGCCAGAGGCTAAGCATGGCCGGGCCGAGGCTCTGGGCCGTGGCGTAGAGGGCCAGCCAGCAGCCCCGCAGGGTGTCGCCGAGCGACGCATCCGTGACGATGAGGATGACGGTGACGTAGGAGAACGCCGGGAACCCCACTAGGCCGCGGAACGAGGCTGGGCCGTAGAGGGTGGCGCAGGCTACTATGGCGCAAGCAGCAGCTGTTCGGAAGGCCGCAGCGAGGCAGGCCCGCCACGCGGCTCGGGCTCTGGCGTCGGAGCAGTCGAAAATGGATGCCATTGCGTTTGATTGCAATATGGGGCATGCAATGAGCGGTGCCCTAGGAGGCTAGGATAGTATGCTTGTTTTGGAGGAGAGGAAACTGTTATTATGGTGCGGGGCTAGTAGTGCTTGAGTTGGGGGCTACTTAAATATATGTTAGAGAAGTCAATTTAATTGAAACCACGTGGAAGGCTCTTGTGGGTCCACTTCTAGTTAATGGAAAATGCGATCACTTCATTTGCATCTGTATTCTATATTGTACCATACTATAGTACACGCTCATGATATAGTGGTGGAAAAAAGATGAATTTGATTAGTAATGGCTCGTGCACATTGCCACGTTCAACATATAAAAGTCATGTTTTTCTTTTGTCTTTCCCATTTCTACATTACAATATCTTTTCATCGCTTGTTTGGTGGAAAATGTTTTGCGTGTTATAGCAGTTTTGTTTCATATGCGGATATAGGAAGTGCGTCGAAGTTTGTTATTTTGTTATAAGTGGAATATCATACTTATGCTTCCATAGGCCAAAAAATAAGTGAAGAAAAGGAATATCGCATTCTCAACATATAACTCGATTTCCAATATGCTGACTTTTTAGCACATGGTCGAGTTATTAAGAATAGAATGGAAATTATACTGTATCTTGAGATATCGTATAAATTTACTTTTTTACTTTATGATCTTATACATAATTGTAAGTGAAAGATAACTCTTCCTTTTATTTCTTTGAAATATTCTATCGCCACCGAAGTGGACTGCGCGGCGCCGCCAACGTCGGATCATACTTATCGATGGGAAAGTACTTTAGATGCACCTCATGCATATATATATATATATATATATGCGCACATTTATATAGATCATGAGAGCTCCAATTAATTAACCTTAAGAAGTGTACGATAAGATTCTCTTGCTTCGTAGTCTGAAACTTTTTATTTTTCTGTCTTAATTATGCTAGCTATCTAGTAACTAAGAATGTACACGCCCAATGAGTTCAAACCCTCTTTTTTAATTATTAGTTAGTGCCATATTAAGGTTGTAAAGAGCTCATTACTGATCGCTTTCTTATATATATTCCTTAAAAAAAAAATTATACATGAGTAATAAATGGGAAAAAAAAGGCATTACTACCTCTAGTACTAAGCTAGTGGACTAATCTTCTTGGCCTGGTGTGTCTTTTAAATGCCTCTCTAAAGGAAGAAATTTGATCAGATTGGTTAATGAGAAAGAAGGGAAGCATATCTATTGAGCACGAAGACAAAAGTCCGACTTGGAATAGACTGTTTAGGATTGCGTACGTGTGCGTGGTCGTGATCTGATTATTTGTTGATGATCAACGTACGTCTTGATATATATATATATATATATTTTTTTTTTTTTACTTTTTGGCTTAAAGTTGATGTTTAGTTTTTGAATCAATTTGGCTTCATTACATGCAGGAACAGATAAAAAGGGACTACATCAGCCAAGTGAATTTGAGATTCAGTTGTATTGGCGCTCTATTTGCATAGTAATATCTTGTACTGACTTACAAAGACAAGCTTTTCAGGGTTGAGTTTTAAAACTTCAAATAATATATCATCCAATACGTACCCAATTACTGTAAAAGTACTTTTGGTCGAGGTTCTGTATAATTTAAGGCTCGTTCATTTTACTGATTTGAGTTAAGAATTCAAATTTTATTATAGTAAAAAATTTTAAAAAACAGTCACATTTAATATTTTTGCTACGGTAAAAAATTTTCACGTAAAGTCACATCTCAACTTGTTAAAGTATAAAACTATTATTGACACACCTCCTAACAGCTTAAGCTTTTGGGATGAATTGATAAACTAACATGGTATCAGAGCGGGATGTCTTGAGTTCAAATTCCCGTAATTACACTCTTTATCTTCATTTAAAATTGTCATCATATGTTGGGTCTTTAATAAATATCAAGCTTAAATATTCACATGTTGGGCTTTCTAATTAATTTACCCACACGATTGCCTATTGTCCAGTCCACACGTGAGAGGGAGTATTAAAGTATAAAACTATTGTTGGCCCACCTTCTAACAGCTTAAGCTTTTGAGATGAATTAGTAAACTAACATAACTCAAATTAAAAACTCAAATCAACGAATTAAACGGAGTGCATGCACAATAAAATCCAAATCTAAAAACCAAATAAAGATAAATATAAGTGGTGGTGAAAAAGTATAGTAATTGGTCTTTTCAATTTGAAGATTCAAGACATATTAATGAGAAATTAAACAAATTGTCTGTCAGATTATAATAGGATCTAAGTGGGGTTTTCCTAGATTTCCACCCAATATTGCTTCTGTCCTAATATTTGTACGAATTCGTTCCTTGAAGCGTTGGAAGGGTCAAGGGATAACTGAGAAGTGATTTTGAAGCGCTTATCAAATAAAAAAGAAATAGTACAAAGAAAAGAAAAGAAAAGAAAAAGTTAGTTAAAGAGCAAGAAAATCACTATTCCCTTTGTGTTCCTTTGGCCTTGTCTCATCTCTAATTTGGTTTTTGTACAAATCTAATAAATTGAAATCTATTAGGAAAGAAACATGATGGCTTTTCCTAAATCCTGTTGCTTTGCCTTTTTCATTTCTTTTCCCTCTCTTCTGATACCTAATTTGCTTACGTATTCTCTCTAGTGCTTAATTGGGAGAAGAAGAAAATTGTTTCCACATGCACCCGGAAAGCCACTTTTTGTGTGCGCTGACATCGAAAGAGGCGTAATTAAGAAATTGTTTTTCATGGAGAATTGAAGCAAGCCATAGACATCACAGCCTCATAAGGTGGGATCCTATGTAAGAAAGTATGGTCTAAAGTTTGTCGGGATAGTGAAGTTTAGTTTCATTAATGGTGCTTATGCATTAATATATTCACTTTTCTCCCATGGTAGCAGCATATACATATATATATATATATAATACTATAATGATCCATCGTTTAGGTTTACAACATGGTTATAGTGTATATATATGGGTTATGTTTGGCAACCAAGCAGCATACCCGTGCAAACATTATATGCAAAGACATATACATCGAAGAAAACCAAATATACGTATAGCAGATGCAACATATATATAAATGTGCTTAAATGCAGGTTCAAGTACTTCACATGCATGTTTAAAGTTGTGTATATACTAGTTTAATTACACGTGCGATGCACGTGAAAATAATCATGCATTAAGTTTTTAATTACCGTGTTATTATTAAAAACATATAATAAATGAATATAAAATCTCAAAAAGAAACTAAAATTTTAAAAAATAAAGTTTTATGGCAAGTAGCGAAAAAATGGATAAAAAAGAACTAAAATGAAACAAATAAATAAAAAAAGTCAAAAAAATGACTAAAATGAAGAGATAAAAATAAAAAAGGGTAAAAAAGAACTAATAAAAGAATAAATAAATTTTAAAGTACCACCCGAAAGAAACATTTAGGTAGGAAAATA